ATTTAATTGTAAACCCCAAAAAATCTATAGAAGTGCATTTATCAATACGATTAAGGAAGAAATAGGTAAAAAAGTATGGAATGGTAAAAATTAATATTTTGTCTGATTTGCTTGTTGGTTTGCAACGTCTCAAATTAAAAAAAAAGTGCAGTACCATACCGTGTTAACTTATCATACAAACATTTCACTGATTCGACATTTAAAGTTTACATTCTAAAAATATGTGCAATTTACTGTCTTAACTCGGTTTTAGCAACGAAAAGTAAAAAATAGGCTATAATAGAATCGACACTAGATTACAAGATTCTAAAACGTACTTGGTAGTTGGAATTTTATATTAAAACTATTTTTTTAACTTTAAATCAGTAAAATATCAAGCAATAATGTGTACCGTATTTTGATAAAATAAATTATTTTTGTTAGCAAAAATAAATTAAGTATCGAAATAGTAAAGTGACTTGCTATTTTTTTACAAAATACAAGTGACAAGTGACTTAACTAAACAAAACTTAATTTTCGCTCATGACGATTATCCGCCTCTTAGGTATTAAGGTTTACCAAAAAATTAGAATAATGGAATGACCTGTCATGATTGAAATCAGTAACTTATACTATATGTGAACCGATTTGTTAATATTATGGAATGAAGTATCTAGCTAGCAGTGCTAGCACCTGTATATAAATAAACTTAATGATAAATACATAAAAACAAATGTACAGTTGTGTATTTTTATAATATAATACATAAATAATTAGTCCATAAATTCAATACATGGTTCATTTATCAAAATAATTGAGATAGGAATACGATTATGTAATTTACGCAATTAACATTAAAGTTTATGAACAACAAATGCAAAAAAATACAATTTTGTTAACATCGGCTTTTAGCAAACTTTGTCATTAACCATGCTTCCTCAAATGATTTTCGAAATATTTTATTTAAAGTTGAAACTTTAATAAAACATGTACTTATTAGTTTATAAACGAAACGTGAGGAAGTTTATTATTTTTAACTGTTTCTTACTTAAGTATATGTTGGCATGATTTTATGTGATCATTTTCACTTTAGTGTTGAGGCCTAATAAAATATTACTAATAACATCTCTGTATAGATCATCTTTGTTAATGTCTGATGCCTTTATTTATGAACTAATAGCGGAAGCAAAAAAAAATCAAAGTCCAGCTAATTAAATCAAGTGTTAATTCAATATGATTTTGATGTCAATTTAATAACATTTAACGAAAAGAGATAAAAAGAAAACAATCTAACGTGTTTACTTTAAAATTTTCCAACAAATTAAATAGCTTTTAATTTATAAATTCAAGTTGTAATTCATGCCGAAAATAATTAAACCGTATATTGGTTAGGCGTCAGAATGCGCGTTCAGATTGTCTAATTAGAATCTAATTATGAATATTACATCCAAACCACATATAAGGTGTCAGGGAACTCTTCCTACTACCATGGCATAAACATTTATCGACAGATCGAGACACAAGCTTTCGTAACAGTCGCTATGATAGACGGATAAGCTCACGGCCCATCTCACGTTACTCAATTACCGGAACTCATAGACCCCACAATGCTGAAGATTGAAGTTTCTTAGAACTTGCTTCTCAGAAATAATCGGGACGCTCATACCCAATTCTGCAGGCTTGCAACATACTACGTACCTATTACTAGAACTTAGGATTTGGGATGTTACGTAGGAATAGCCCAGAATAATGTTACTGATGGGGATTTTAGGAAGTAGTAACTCGAGGTCTTGAGGTTGGTAATCTTATAGTATGGATTACTAAACTGACGTTATAAGACATGACAAAAATGTGTTTAAAGCATCACCTCAAACTGTAGTGTTTCGTATCAGAAATCATCCCCTATTTGCCTGCGTTTTTGGGAGAAATTCCCTTACACACCGTATTATTTAGGAACATAAAATGCGCGCCGTGTCGTGGCTTGAAAGTTGCCTTACAATTTAGCAATAATGAAGCGATTATTTTGTTTAGTTCAAAACATTGGTAATTATAATAGAAAGTTAAGGATTGTGCAATTGTACCATAATGATAAGATAAGTAGAAAAAAATCGTGAACGGTATTTGAGTTTTGGTTCTATAAAATCATGAATAAACTAGTTTAGTGCTATTCTATTAACAGTAATGTTGTAAGTAAAAAGTGAAACGAGACGTAAACAGTCTTGTAAAAATGTAGTTTATCTTGAGCTGTTTAATGATGGATTGGTTTATAATAGTGACCAAAAGAAAATAAATGAAATGTTTATAATACATAAACGACTAATAATAATGTGACTTAAAATAAAATATTGCATTATGGAACGGGTAAATGCAGTGTAGTATAGCAATATTCAAATAAGTCGTTCTGTGTATTTAAAACATTGGAATGCGCTGGTTCAATTGNTAGTTTATCTTGAGCTGTTTAATGATGGATTGGTTTATAATAGTGACCAAAAGAAAATAAATGAAATGTTTATAATACATAAACGACTAATAATAATGTGACTTAAAATAAAATATTGCATTATGGAACGGGTAAATGCAGTGTAGTATAGCAATATTCAAATAAGTCGTTCTGTGTATTTAAAACATTGGAATGCGCTGGTTCAATTGTGCCTGAATTAAAATGCCGCTCCAAACCTCAAAATTACTTATACAAAGTAAGGTTAAAGTCGACTCTCAATTAGGTAATTATAGGTAGATAGCATTTTTGGTAAAAAAAAACTATTTTTATCGGATTGACTTAAGGAGTGATTACATTATTCAGTTGTGACTAATTTTATTTTTGATGGGGAATATGAGCTGATCTTGTGACGTCATAGTGTCTAAAATAGTACAAATGAGAAGACTTATCGTCGTAAGCTTCGGACTATTCAACATTACAAATGCTACATTTGAAATGTATCCCTGTGTACTAGTTTTATTTTGTACTAAAAGTTAAAAATAAATTAATTATTAAATTACAATTTGAAGTTTTTCTGCTTTCTAGAAACCCTTATTATTAATTATTTGCATAAATATGTACACGATTTATTCTTAATTATTTAATTATAGGTATTTTACAAACTCATTTGTGATTTTTAGCGAATGTGGTAGGTAGGCATTTAGTTACACACTTGTTAAATATTTTAGAGCTGAAAAAGCTAGAATTGAAGTCATTTCGTCCTTCCATAGGGACTAGGAAAAATTAAGGCGTTATTATTCTTCAATTTTAATGCAAGGTGAATGAGATTCTGTGACCTGTTTTAAATGAAACGTCTATTTTACTGATATTGTATTGTCTTATTTAAATCAGCGAAATTTAATAGATCGTAAATTCTATAGGACGATAAGCGCGATGGAAAATAAGTTCATACATTTTAGAAAAAAAATACACTAAATAGAACTAGTACCTATTTATTCCATTGACGGATGAACGAGTCTTAGGCCCGCATGCTGCTAAGTGATTATCGAAGCACATATTGACTACAATGTTAATGTCGCCAAATTAAGTGTTAGGGTTTCTGCGGGACGTGTAGGTAGCCGTGGAGCGTGGACAGATTTACTCTTTCGACGTACCACGTACCTATTACATACCGTTGTTGAAGAAGTTGGATAAAATTTTTTTTTTTTTTTTATGGGTCTATCAATAAAATATTTGTAAAGTGTAATAATATATGTCTGACGGCTGGCGGGCTTTTCGTTACATTAAATCGCAATAAAGCAAACACTACCAGTGGCTGTCGGTATATACCTACAGTCTACAGTCCGCGCGCGAGCTCCGAGGATTTTTAAGAAATGTTGACGTAATGAGCTAGTGTTGTAATTAGTCGATATTGCGCTATCGATACTAACATATCTTAAGCCTCCGTGCGAGTGTAAATTATAAAATAGTTTTATGAGGGTATTATGTACTTCAAATAAAATAAAAACAATTGATCACGTATGAATTTAATTTAATGAACTGATACTTATTGAACAAAATGAACGTGAAATCTTATTAATTACTCTCGCAATCAGATTAATCAGTAGTTGAAGAATTTGATGTACTATTGACACTCTCTTTACGTACTTCAAATATTAAATGATTCGACAACATCCTGCGTTAAGCCATCCTTTTGCCAGTAATGTTCCTCTAATGCTAAGACATGTTTATTATGTTAGTGCTCGCCATGCCTTTTTCATCAAATGAAATAGCTATTGCTACGCACACGCCCGCCAGCTTGCTCAGCCCCCGAATCCTCGGAGCTCGCGCACGGACTGTACCTGCTATCCGCTACACATGGTACGCGGAACTGAAATTCGAAGTCTGTTACTTTTTTGTCTATTTGTCTCCGTATAGTTACAACGGCTGACCCACCCTTCAAACTGAAACGCATTACTGCTTCACGGCAGAAATAGTCAGGGTGGTGGTACCTACCCGTGCGGATTCACAAGAGGTCCTACCAACAGTAATTACACAAATTATAATTTTGTGGGTTTGATTTTTATTACACGACTAGCGACCCGCCCTCGCTTCGCTTCGGAAACATTAAAACACACATGAAACCAAAAAAATAAAATAAAAAAGAAATTAAAAAGTAGCCTATGTTCATCAGGGACAATGTTGGCTTCTATTGGAAAAAGAATTTTTCAAATCGGTCCAGTAGTTTCGGAGCCTATTCGAAACAAACAAACAAACAAATCTTTCCTCTTTATAATATTAGTATAGATGTTATTCCTTCGCCATGGAAGTCAATCGTGAACATTTGTCAAGTATGTATTTTATTACAAAAATTGGTACCCGCCTAGCCTGCAATATTCGAACACTGTTGCATCGCTAGATACGAATGCAAAAGATGTCCTATCCTTTAGGCCACAACGACTTCAATTAATCAACTTCATTTAATTTCATTTCATATTATGATTTTTCATACAATATATATATACCTATATATAAAAGATTAGGATTAGGTGGTATGATACTTTTGCCTTTCCATTTGGAAAAATAAAACTACTACTATAGTATTGTCAACTGTCAATTAATCTAATTTGTGTCGAATGAAAATAAAATATGGTGTATGAGTAATAAATTCCATTAAAATCCAAAAAAAGGATTTTTCCAAATGAAATGCAACGTTCGAGAAGTCGCTCAGCTGAGCGATCGACCTTGTGTAATTGAAGGAAGATTAAATTACAAAAAGATTACAAATGGAAGCTACAGACATCAAGCAAGTGAGTAAACAGTTTGTTTTCTCAAATATCATTCATTTAAACGTTCTTATGTGTTCGCTCTATATCTCTATATCTTCAAAAATTTTTTTAATGTAATTAATATAATTAATGATCCTTATGTGGCTGTTTAAGTTATTATCAAAAACATATAATTTATATTCAGAACAGGCACAAGATATATGTTGTAGTTGATAAATTTTTTTATTACAGTTTTTAAGGAACGATGGTTTCGGCTAATTAACAACTATTTATTTTATTTTAAAATAAGTGAAATGGGTAAATTTGACACGAAAAACCCTGCTGGAGTATTTGTATTGGAAAACTCGTCAATACAGATGGAACATGGCCAGAGCATACCATTCTCATTCTCAATTTCATTTATGTGAGTACTATATTCTTAGCATTTGTTTCTCTGGAGAATTTTCATTTGCTACTTGAAATGCACTTCTTTGGATACCATACTATACCTATGCAGCAAAATGATCGTAATTATCAGTGTCCATTTTATTTAATGGGCATTCAGTGTCAGTGTCACATCATTTTTCTAAATTGCTTAATGAAGCAATTACTGGTACATGCCTAGATGACTCATGATGATTGGACAACGGAAAAAGCATGTATTTTAAGGTGGCATACAGATATAGCACATACTGACTCTTTTATTGAATTTGTTTCATGAGGCTGTAAGATCTGGTACAACTACCCTCTGTTTTTCTGCCACATAGCCCTAATATGTTCTGGTTTGAAGGGTGGGCCAACAGTTAATTGAGACTTAGACCTCATGTCTCATGTCGAAGTGGGTAGTGACATTCAAGTTTTTATATCTACAGGCTCACATATACACATAAAATTAAAATCACTAGCCTGACTCTGACTCATGTCATACTGTATTATTATAAAGTTAGGAGGATATTGTTATTGGACCTATTTTTGGTACAGGTACATACATACATAAAATATTGCTGGGATGATGCACTTGTATAGCAATATTTTTGACTAATTTCCTAATATTTTTGATTTTCATTTAGAGTAATGACCTCCCACATTCATATAGACAGTGTGGCCATCTCTCCCATGTCTGAAGGTGATTTGTGGCATTGACTTTGTAATGTTTATAGCCTTTATTTAACATCAACATTGTTTAAATAAAAATGATATTTTAGGGCCATAATCATATTATGTAGCAAAATACTTGTAAATTGCCGGGGCAATGGTGTGAATATAATTTAGTAAAAATTTACAGATTTTATAGGCATTGATAAATTCAGAACACACCTTTCAGAGATGAACCCGAAAAGAGGCATGTATTTGCTGCGCGAGCTGAGGATAATGTAGTAAAATGGGTAATCAGTTTACGGGAATGCTCATATGAATATTTACGTAATAGACTCCATACTTTACAATCCAAAATATTCTCAATCACTGGCAAGGTAAGAAAATAAAAAAAATGTAAATTTATTATTATTATTATATTAATTTAAATATAGCTTCCATTTATTTTATAGCTTAATATAGTTAACCTTTAATTATTTTGTTATTTCCCATTAGGATCCATTATTGTTGGTGCCTAGAAATGAGGGTGCTTGTTTGTGGGCACCTGCTGTTCCTTTTTCAACAACACCTGCATGCACAGTGAACACAAGCTCGTTTAGTTGTCATCTCCACACTAACGGTGCATTCACTCTTGAACGAAGCAAGTCAGATGTTCAGGCCTACAAGCATTGTCGTACAGAGTTCATACAAAAAGCTACTTTCTATACCAATGAATCAAAACCAAAAAGTGAAAAAGATGAAGAATGCACTTTTGCATTAGGAAGAAGTAAAACCTCAGCTCTTCTTCCTGGGAGTGTAAATCTAATGGATTCTAGTATATTTGACAATCGGCCTTCATACTCCAGAGCGGCGCCCAGTCCGCCCGTTCGTACTAAACTGTCACCAAATAATCGACGTGCTGAATTAAACTATGATGTGAAAGTATTTACTGAACATGGAAGGCATTTGAATNAATGCACTTTTGCATTAGGAAGAAGTAAAACCTCAGCTCTTCTTCCTGGGAGTGTAAATCTAATGGATTCTAGTATATTTGACAATCGGCCTTCATACTCCAGAGCGGCGCCCAGTCCGCCCGTTCGTACTAAACTGTCACCAAATAATCGACGTGCTGAATTAAACTATGATGTGAAAGTATTTACTGAACATGGAAGGCATTTGAACACAACAGGAATACTTGATGACATTCCTGTGCCACCCAGGAGAAAAATATCACCCAAACATATAGTGCCCAATGACAATGATTCTAATAGAGAACTACAGACATCAAGTGAAGATCTTATTACGTTTTAAAAAATGTTTTATTTGCAATAAGGTGTATTGGAGCCATTCCGAAAATGAAAACAGATTGTAGAGCTGTGTTCCTTGGTACAGTGGCATAAAAAACTAAATCATAGAATTATATTTCACTTTTTCGTTTGTATTGAAGGTAATCTTAGATATTTGAAGAATGTCCGATGCGCAGGATGCACATATATTACTGAGAGAATGCAGAGCAGTTTTTGCCAACTGCTTTTCCGTTGTAGAAATACCAACCAATAATATTTTTGATTACATTCGACTCTTTTTACATACCACCTCACAACACCCAACGTGTGGTGCTACGATTCGGGGATTCAATACCTTGCTTCAAAATGGGTAGTAATACATGGTTGTTTTACATTCGGAAAAGGTGCCCAAACACCTAGAACTAAGTAAAAATCCCACCTTTACAAAAATGTGTATAATATTTATAGAGCAAAATATTATAAATATAAATCAAAGAATAAAATGATAAAATTTAGATGTGTCGATCGAATACCGACCGAATGACATCTCTCGATAATTATTGACCTGCAACGTCTCTACGTAATCGATGTGCAGACGACAGAAGGAAGATCTAATAAGTTGTATCAATATTATACTTTGAATTACCTTTTTTTTTCAACTTTATAGTCGGTTATTTAGTCAAAATGCAGTTTTCATTCCAAAAAAGGTCTGTCAACGGTTCAACGACCGAATTATTTAACTTGTCAAACAACTTGCAAACGGTTACGAAGGATGCAGATTACGGGTGGACCGATCGACATGTCTCATTTAGTATGACTTGTGTACCAATGTTGTTGTATAGAATATAAATTAGACTATAGTAAAGAGAATACTGGTCAATGGCTACGGTAATTATTTTCTCTGTTTGTTCACTTGGACAATTACAGGGGATGTAGCCCATACAACGGAGTATTTTGTACCGAAATTCTACCTCGGCCATAGTTAACGGTCTATCTTTACCTTCAAAATATTATATTTAATTAATAATTAACCAGTGTAATTAAGAGTGTAAAGAGTATATAAATCATTGAATTTAAGACTGCTTTGTGATATTAGCAATTTCAAAGAAGGCGTAATATAAATTAAACAACGATTAGTTTATCTAAGCGATATGTTGCCTATGATGAAAATAATGGGTTATATGAAATATTTAATTACGGTATCAATTAATTTTACTCAATGACTATAAAGTATGTCAATATTCATTCTAAACAAAGGTCTAGCTTGTATTACATCACAGACGCCTTAATCTAATTATTTTACGAGATTGGATCTTGATATGGTGCGGCGCTCTTCGTAAACATACAGGGTGTCTCAGAAAGTAACGATAACCTGATATCGGGGGAAAGACACTTATGATGAGCCAGTACAAAAAAAACCAGCCTTTTACACAGTTACACACTGTTACAGTTACTTAGAGTACCAATTATTCATTAAACAAAAAAATACGCAAAAATCCAAAATATAATAGTAAGTAGTAAAAAGTATAATAGTAAGTAAGTAGTATCATCGATAAATGTACCTACTCTAAATTTACTGAAAAAAATTGTAAAAAAAAAACAATAGAATACCTAACTGAGCTACATACGTAGAAGAATAAACGGGCTCCGGGTAGTGTATTTTTAGATTTTTAATAAAATTGTTGGTACTTGAGTACTACTGTGTATAGAACGCTGTTTTTACTTACTAGCTCATCGTAAGAGTATCTTTTCCCCGATGCCAGGTTATCGTTACCTCCTGGGACACTGTTATATAATGTGATTTGACCAGGCCTTAAGTGAATTAAATCTTTGTTACAAGTAAATTAAATAAAAAAAACATAATTGATGATTATCATTATTACAAAAATGCGTATATTTAAATGTATATCTAATCAAAAAATCAAATGAACAGTGAACGAAAACTAGGCGATAAAATTTCAAGAGAACCTCCAAAATTACTTTAAACTTACTACTACAACTAACTTAAAAATATTTTGCAATCGGGCGAGCATTGTGAATATTATATTGTATNTCAAAACGGCAGACGTGGTCAAATGGATTTAAAATCCGTCAAAATCGGTACCTGTCCTACCTGAGCGCTCGGCGCGTCGACCACTTTGAGCTTAGTGAGTCCCCACCTCATGCATGGTAGGTATAGGGGTCTCAATGTACGAAAATTCAGGTCTGGTCAAATACATACAGGTAGATCCCACGGGCTCTCGGGCTAAAACGCTCTGTGAAACCAGAAGTATTGTACTATCTGAACAGCTCTTTGTGTGGATAACTCTTGCCAAATGTCTGAAATGTTCACCTCTGCGACATTGCGACATGTTGTTTTCAATTTTTGTGACATTTTCTTTATGTTAAAAATATCTAGACGAATGCATACTTTAATGCTTATTGTTAGTAAATTAGTTATTAATTTTGAGATTAATCATCGAAGCATGACGTTATTACGTAATTTTAATTCGCACCATTGATATATCTATATGAGATTTATATGTTTGTATTGTTAGCAAATTATATATTTAAATGAAATTATTCTGTATAGTCCAAAGTAAAAACTTGAATTGTTAAAGTTTTACACTTGCATGTACACAACTGTTATTAATTCTCAAAAAAGACAACGATTACATTATATATGCTGCACACACTATTCTTACACATTCACGACAAAATAAATTGTTAAACCGAAATTGAAAAGCTGTACCACAAACCAGCGAAATATTGAGCAAACCATTGATTAATTTCATACGGTGATTCTTACGGCTCGATTTTTCGAGTCTGTTTTCTAAGCTTTGCATTCATAATGTGGCGGTAAGTTCGTGTCAGCAGGCAGTAATTACTTCTGTACACAAACTTTGTAAGCTCATAAACATCGTGTTCTGCGTTTCTGCTCACGTTTTCAACATGGATTGCATTAAATTCCCGAAGGATAAAGCGTCCTGCTACAAATCTGCCGGTTCGGAAAACCCAGTTAAACATAATACTGAGCTTCCAGATTATAATAAGGAGCTATGCTATCATCAAATAGAAAGAACTTTAAACGGGCCACTTGAGAATAATGGAAAGAGTGGAGTCCTAAAAGTAACTTTTGACATTGTTGAAGTGAACGATGAATAATTCTAATATAACCAGTTCCAATTACTTAAGTTTCAGATTTGAAGTGCAAAAACTGTTCGTCACTTACTTAGGACTTATTTTTACACGACTTCAAGACAGCCAATTTGCATCCTAACTCTAGAGACTAAGTGAAAATAAAAACGTCTTCCCTTTGCTGACACGAATACGAATAGAACCATCATTTTTAAACTAATGCTCGATGACTTTTTCTTTTGAAGGAGGTATCACTGGTGGTACTTGAGCCTTTCCAGCTTTACCAGGACAAGTGGGTGGGAACGAGCTCACCCAGGAGGGACTCGATTGACTAACCACCGGCATTCATAATTATTTTCACATCTATAGCATTGGAAAATGATTTTCTAAGAAGTTCCAATAACAAGATTTTTTAGATTTTATACAAACTTCTGTAATGATAGATGACAAAGGCTGCACAACATATTTATTTTAATGACTAAAGCAAATGTATATCTGTAAAATGCTTAACATTTCTTTGAGAATCGAATTTGAATTTTGTTCAAACTAACAGTAATTATCATGAATGAATTAAATCCAACGCTTTTAGTATAGTCGAATCGAAGTTAATGTAGATACACCTGTTATTGTCCAAAAACTCAATAAGTCATTTCGGAATGAATTGTATTTTTTTAATTTTTTTAATAAACTATCAAAATGATGTTTCTTTTATTTATTTTTCACCTTTGCGGACCTATCTTTAAATAATTTTTTTTAAATGATTTGTAGCACGATATTTTTATATTTGTCGAAGCGAATTCCACTCTTAGCTTCTCTTCGCTTTAAAAATAAAATTTAACAAAGAACTTCCGAAATCGGGTTTGATATTTTAGGAAAAGAAAAGAAGTTTATTAGCGGTTATTTAATTCCTTTAATTAGGTAGTTACAGAAAGTACATTGAGAAGGGGGGTATAAAGGTAATTTTGTAGTCGAAATGATGAAGCTTTTAAAAGTTGTTTTTCAGTAATCCTGCACATATTTGTGTGCGGTGCGCTACAAGTAAAATTATGACACATTATGAAATTTGTGAAGTAAGCCTTAATCTGTTAGTCTTCTACGAGTATTATATAGTTTGCATCACTCGTTTCCGAAAACTATCTTATTTTATTCAATATATCTAACCTTAAAATTACCTATAATCATGATCTACGATCGATGCCTATAATAAAGTTCAATTTTAATATTTCATTCAGTTTTGGTTCATCACAGCGAAAGGAAGATAAATGAAACTGCATATCTCTTAAAATAATGTAATTGTATTTCAAAAACTTATTAATATTTTAATCTCCACGATTCTTACTTATTAAATAACATTTTAAAATATCTTATGACACGATACGATCCGAGGCACAATATTAATGTACTTCAGGTGTACTCATGATTTGTTTAATTTATGGTGATTGTGATGGTGATACTAACTCTGAATGAACGACAAAGTAAACCAATTTAAAAATAACTTTGAAACATTAAAATTTATTCTATTAAAATCTACTGTAATTGCAATTTTGTTTATAGATACATCTACATATTTGAATACTTCTGTTTTAAAAACTGCTATCCAGAAGTGCCTATTGAGTATAGGTAAATATTTGCATAATTAAAAATGAAACGTTTATAAATCCTAAACTCTTTCATGAAATAAATTTAGCACTAACTTTGGATATTTCGAAAAGAGCAGTGTCGCAATTTTAAGTGCTATCTATCACATCGCGCTTAAATGTCTCGAGGTGCACAGGTCACTCGGCGCTTACAAGGTCATTCACCATTATTTCAGCTCTTTAAAATTATTATGTCGATAAAGAATATATATCCTTTGATCTATGGATCAGGGAATTTTTGAAACTCTTTACAAATTTAAATAATGTTTAGTTGCCTGACGTGCGAAGTGAATTGCAAGTAGGTAGTTATGAAATTCAGTAGCTAGTACGTCTGAAATGTCGATAGCATTTATCCAAAAGTACACACATGTTTCATTTAATAAAAATCTCCCTGACTTTGCTGCTTAAGCTGCTCAACGTAAAAATATCGTACACTGTCATACAGTTTTAAAACTTACAATTAATTAATTAATTAATTTACTTTTATTTTATTAATATCTATTTTGAAATTTTAATTTTACATACTAATAATGCAAAACTTATGTAACAATTTTCATAAGATATAAAAATGATTTTAAGGGGGTCTTTAAATGGGGATGTAGCTTAATTCATAGATAAACATCTAATTAACACGAAAACAACGTTTTTAGTAGGTACCTATTTACTCATACCTCAAGGGTGATGGAAGACAATAAGAAGTTCTTGTCTTCGGTCAAATCGCAGCAGTACATAAAATGGCCTCAATTATTCTCTTAATTGTACTTTTATATATAAGCAACAAAAATATGACCAATAGCTGTTAAAGTTTTGTGACGTTTATCGTGCTGCAATTTGTTTAAAACTACCTGAATGATATCGATATCGATACTTCTCTATGGCCAGATTTTAAATTTTTAGGTATGCTTTGCAGCCAAAGGTACGGAACGCACACTTTTGCGCAATCCATCATTTTGTCTGTTCTGTTCCCACGACTGTGTTATTAATATTTTACTTTGGGATTTGGCATCTGATCAGGCCCAGAGAAATTTGGGACGATGTCGAGTTTAGAGTTTATTACGGTGTGCTGAAATTAACAAATAAATATTATTAGAAATACTCCAAAGACGTCTGAGGAATAGAATATTATGTAAAAATCAGCACAGAAGCGGTCATGGTGTACTTTAAAAAAATGATTATTATTACGTTTCAAAGTATTAAGTATAGTGCCCCCGTTTCACTTTTCAAAACAGTTGGTTGGAAAATTCTAAATTCTTTTTCAGATATGCTGTGTATCTTGTGGGATATAGTATACTCCTACTATTTAAAATAAAAAATTTAGTACTATTCATTTTAACCGAGTCGTCCAACTCTATTACGGAACATACCTATTCCATCACGTACATATGTACCTACATAGATGCGTGTTTTTGTAGCTTTAACGCTGTATACTTATGGCCCTGTTCCAAATATCCACCCTGTGTGTCTTTTTTAATAAACGAACATATGGCATGTCGTTGTATAATTATCACTCTTAGCACCGGAGCTGGGTTGATTAACAAAATGGTGTAATTTAAATGATGCTAAAAAAACTTTTAATAAAAGATCTGTTTGGACACTCCAGTTTGAACAAAACGGTCATTCCATTAAATATAATTTTATATATAAAGTTGGCATAGAGATTTCTGAATTCAAATTTTCAACCGAAATCGTTGAGAACACGATATGCAGCCACGACAAAGATGTGACGGAAACATTAATTAAAGTACATACAAATGCTTATGTTACATTACAATTAGAGCACAATGCGCAATTGTAGACAATATACGAGATCCTAAAGCTACCTTTGTATACTGATATTTATTATAAAAATATTTAGCCCGGCGCTACAAAAGGTGGACAGGTTCACGAGGCACATTTTTACAAATTCGGCTTAACTATAAATTGAATCTTGTAACAGATCATGTTTGGTTCGCGAACTATTTGCCTCGGGCGTTTTATATAATGACCTTCGCGTATTGTGGTTACCTTGACAAACGCAAACAGTCATACGCCAATATGTCATACAAGTTGTTAATGTGTTTGGTGGACCCACAACGAGCCCGTCACTTGAGGACGTCAGTTAATGTGCAGTTTGTGATATTGCTAGTTGCCGCCGTACTCGCGCAGCTCCCTGTTGCCGAGGGGCAGCGTGGGCCGGTAATTGTGGAGCAGCTCCATCGCCTCAACGCCGCATGACGCTTCACCGCATTTCAACTTCCGCATCAAAGAGAGCTGTAATCAATTGGACGTGTAACCTTGAGCGTGCTTCGTTTGAATTTACCTAAAACATTTATGACGTACAAAAACTAAGAGACTATTCGATTGACAGCAAAACGAACGTATTTGACAGTAAATAAACATCAATTTTTTTTGTCTTCGCCATTTATGTTATGCTTTTTTTTATTGCCCTTGTAGGCAGACGAGCACACGGCCCACCTGATGGTGAGTGGTTACCGTCGCCCATGCACTTCAATGCCAGGGGCAGAGCCAAACCGCTGCCTAAATACATATCTAATATGCAAAAAAATAAAAGAGCTCACACGATTGCTTGGTCGAAGAGCTCTTCGCTGTTCTACGCTGCTTAGAAAGCCGGTTATAATATTAATATTCAATATTTAATCACTTTTGACTGGATGCTTAAAATGAAATGTAGGCTGATAACGAGAAATTGAACTAAATGCCCAAAAAATATATAATAATTCCAACATACGAAACCGGTTTCCGTTTGTGTGTCAAAAAATATTTATCCGCTTTAATTTTCCTCGTTAAGTTATCTTTAATTCAGTGATATTGATTTTGATATTAAATATCTCTGCGTAAGCTAAAAAAGTTTTTTGAAAAAGCCCGACTGACCTGTTCAGCGGAAACTTGTACGGGTTCTTTGAAGAGGAGCCAAATCACCGACTCCGTGCACGGTGGTGTTGTCAAAGACCCTGGGTACGTCCAGTAAGCTGTCTTGGTTGGTAGCAGCTTGGCAGGGTCGAGGGGCTCGCAAAATGTAACTTTATCGCCTTTGTGTTGCACGAAAGGCAGTAACTGTACAACTTTATCGAGCTCTCGGTGTTTCGAGCCAACCTGGAATTACCGAAATCGNAAGAGGAGCCAAATCACCGACTCCGTGCACGGTGGTGTTGTCAAAGACCCTGGGTACGTCCAGTAAGCTGTCTTGGTTGGTAGCAGCTTGGCAGGGTCGAGGGGCTCGCAAAATGTAACTTTATCGCCTTTGTGTTGCACGAAAGGCAGTAACTGTACAACTTTATCGAGCTCTCGGTGTTTCGAGCCAACCTGGAATTACCGAAATCGTTTTTGCATAAGGAAGTTTATTTTAAAAGGTAAAGCCATTTCTCGGTATTCTGAACTATCTTCTCCTTGAAGTTATGCATTTAATGTATCTGATATCAGTCAGTTTCTTAGAAATATATTATTTACTTTATTATATATCTAGACGGATGGATGAACGATATCACAATTTAAATGTCGTCAATCATCTTTGACATGAGGTCTATGTCTCAATTTTTTAGTATAATAGCTGTTTTACCCTTTATACCGAAACGCATCGCACTCATGGGACTATATTAAGCAGAAGGTAGTTGGTACCATGCTGGCACAAAATATATACACTATCCACTAGTAATATGATTTTAGATTTGAAACTATATTTATATAGGTATTAAGACTCCATGAAGTTTTATTCTTTACAAATAAGAAAATCCACTGATAATTTAAATTAGGTTGGAAATGAAATTAGATATGACGGACGGTCATTGTTATATTTAAAGTCATGTGACGATACTGTACTTGTATATTGTGGGTAATTCTCAGTAAAGTATACATAAAAGGATTGGCTTGCAGCCGTTGCAAGGTTTCGGTGACGTGTCGTGTAAAACTATTATAAAATCTAAAAATATACCGCCCATGTTGTTTATTATTACAATAAAATAGCACATAGCACAATAGCACATGGGTTTAAAAAAAAATTATCTATAGAAGAATTGGGTTATAATTCCCAGAATACTTGAATGTGGACAGTGTGGTAATTGGTCGTTGAGCAATCTATATATTATTTTTGTCCGCGATGACATGTATTTCGGTTTGAATGGCGTAACAGCCATTATACAATACGATTGAGATGCTGACCTCATGTCACGAGGTGGGTTTCAGCATCCATGTTACGATATCTAAGGGCTCTGGTGGTAGCTTAACACCGGGTGGACCAAGAACTCATTCACCCGTCTACTTAATAATTAAATTCTTTTGAAAGAAATGGCATTCTACGGAGTAAAAGTTGAGTTAATAGTAATTTCTAATGATAGAAATGCGGAAACAGCGTACAAACAGCTGAAACTTTAAATTGTACCAGTACAAAGATTAATAACTGTATTAAGATTAATACAGTTAGTCATAGTACGATTATAAACTTCTTATAACTTTAATGTACGATTTCACAACGTGGTCGTTGAAAACGAGCAGAGAAAGTTAGCGACGGAAATGTGTACAGAAGAAGCGAAATTAATAAATCTTAAATATTTTAAGGCTGATATAACGATTACTTCAAGTTGATTCTCTTAATTCAAGTCATGTGAAAGGTATGAACACAGCGCGATTACCGAAATGTGTACATTAGGTTTTGTAAATATATTTATAGGCTAGTGCGGCGGTATCACGTGGAATAGAAATTACAACTATGTATTAGCAAAACATGCAAAACATTAACGAAATAATCAAATAATTACTTAAGAATTAACGAATTACAATAGTAGGTTAAAAACAAATTGCACAATGACAATGATAATAACGGTAAGTAAATATATGTGCAGTTCCGGCGAGAGCCTAAAGAATTATCGGTTACTTATTGTTACAATCATCGTTTATATGAACTAACTAATAAAGTTAAAATATTTTTTTAAATTTAAAATAATACTAATTTAATAATAGTAATAATAATTTATATTAAATTTAATTTAAAATAATACTTTAACTTTAGTTAGTATTTATACTAACATCGAAAACGGAGAACATAAAAGTGTTTCTCTGATAATATTTTACGGAATGCAAAAGGATGGAACTTCAGGTGCATCCAGAAAAATATTCGACAAAGAGATTTTTAAATGAAGTTACCACTCTGTATATGTAGATATATGTGTGTAAAAATATACGTGCACATAGCAGCTGTGCGAACGAGGACTATGCGAAGTAAAATAAAACTTGAAATTACCATTAATAGGACTCCTAAAACGGCTAGTCCATCTGGTTTTCCTGCCGCCTCCCCGAAGCTGTGGTACTTGCTTGTGTTCCAGTGAACCAGGTGGAGTTCTCCGGAGAACGAGCGACCGTCCACTGTATGTTCTGAGCCCTCCCCGTTGAGCGCTCCCCAGTGGCAATGCCATTGTTGTAATTTGTAAACATCATTGTTGAGAGGTCCACCTTTTAATTCTGTAATTGAGTAAACTTATTTGTTAAAAAATTTAAATTTCTATGAGATGAATTATGAGAGAAATAAAGATATAGCTAATTACTTGTTTTCACTTATAAGATTACTAGCTGTACCCGTCCGCTTCGCTGAGCATTTAAAATTAACATTATTATTTCTCACCCCCACAAAGATTCTTATCATTAACGCCCCCGTAACTGGTGTCCAACACTCATATAAATATTAGCCTATCCATTAAGTACATGTATTTTCTACATGGATACCAAGTTTTGAGTCAATCGGATGCACGGTTCAGTAGTTATAACGGAACATCCGTAAAAACCACTGAAGATTTATATATTAGTATAGATAATCCTGCTTGAGCGTAAAACATTTACGACCCCTGATTATTTTATTAGAATAATAAAATATTGTAAGATCTATTTCATTATTATTAAAAGCGTCGTTGAAAAAAACCTTCAATTCATATTAGAAAGGAAGTTTCAATCCTCAATTCAGTAATTAATTCACTATGAAATCTATGAGTGAGATTTTAAAGTTAAAATTGATCCTTTAAATCCATAATACTGATATCATGTCAAGTATTGTTCTAAAAAGTAACTACAGATTATTACGTTATTTTATATGTTTAATTTATATAGAAGTATTTTATTTCCGAAGGGTTTCAATAAATTATTGGACTATAGTAACTTCTTTATATTAATAGTTTCGCGTTTACATGCGGCATCGCTGTTAGGAATAGTAAGTACCTTTTTATGATGAAAGTTATTCTGTCTTTTTCTGTACTCCTGACAATGTGTATGCAAAATTTCATAATGATCAATCCAGCAGATAAGACGCGAAAGTGTAACATACAAATTCACTTTCACATTTAAGTATCAAAATAAGTATGGATAATGAATGTGTCATTCCAAAATATTTACTCGATGTGAAAACTCTAACAAAATCGATTAATGTACATTATCAATAAACTTGAGTAGGATATGATGTGTGATTAGGGATCCGTTTACACCGGAACGATACGATCTGCAATGACTCACGCCAAGGGGAGTCGCGGTAGCACCGATGGAAATGCAAATTGACGGTGCAGTTACAAGGGATTTGTGGCTTCCGCTCAATTTAGTTTGTTATTGATCACAACTGTTTCCACACTCGTCTCATTTGTTATTACTGTGCTGCTAAACTGTAGACGTACATTTTATATTCGAAGATTTTTAGATTCATATTGAATTTGACCGTTTATTACCTGAATCATAGCCGTTTTCGTCGACGCGCCAACAGTAGCCAGGATTGACGATGGAACGAGGATGATTGACAGAGTACCGCCATTTCAGTGGCGGCAGGGAAGCTCCACTTTTGACGCGAGAAGTCACAATATCCACGGGACTTTGTCGAGTGCCACGTGCTTGAGGAAACTTCTCTATCCATGTCGCCGGACCTGTTGAATGGAGATGAATAGATTTATTNCCGTTTTCGTCGACGCGCCAACAGTAGCCAGGATTGACGATGGAACGAGGATGATTGACAGAGTACCGCCATTTCAGTGGCGGCAGGGAAGCTCCACTTTTGACGCGAGAAGTCACAATATCCACGGGACTTTGTCGAGTGCCACGTGCTTGAGGAAACTTCTCTATCCATGTCGCCGGACCTGTTGAATGGAGATGAATAGATTTATTAGTACTGTAGAGCTGAATAAAAATAGATTGTTTTGTCTGTTTGACGAATAATAAGTACTCTACGACGGTGTTAAATATTTAATAGTAGCCGGAACCTCTCAGAAGATCGAATGCCGTGACTTTATATGTACTTTTACCCAATGATGCCAGGGTTGAAATCCAGTTGGCAGGTACTCATCTCTGTTGGTAAAGACGTTCCTAACAACTTTTGTGTAACAAACTCAAATTTATCAAGCTTCATTTGAAATTCTATGTTAATTTTCAGTATTGTAGAGATGAATATCTTACAATTACTGGTGGTAGGACCTCTTGTGAGTCCGCGCAGGTAGGTACCATCACCCTGCTTATTTCTGCCGTGAAGCAGTAATGCGTTTCGGTTTGAAGGGTGGGGCAGCTGTTGTAACTATAACTACTGAGACCTTAGAACTTATATCTCAAGGTGGGTGGCGCTTTTACGTTGTAGATGTCTATGGGCTCCAGTAACCGCTTAACACCAGGTGGGCCGTGAGAGCTCGTCCACACATCTAAGAAAAAAAAACATAGACAAAAGTTTGTCTACGCAGTAACGCACATCAGATCTATTGATTAGCGTTATTGAAATGAAAATAGACATTAAATAAGCGAGAGATATGTTCAGAAATAAATATGTGCCGTTTTTTTTTGAAATGGCAAGATAAAGAATACTGACAGAAGTAAACAAAGGTTACGACATAAATGTTTTTTTTTGTGAATGGCTACGGCTTTGTCTCATCATTCTTGTCAACCCTCTGATGAGTATCTAATGTCATCATCTTTTGTTATTTTTAACTCCACGATAAGCGTGTGTTTTCATAACGCTTAAAAATCTAAGCTGTAGGCTTCGCCTATTTGAAGATGTCACTGATTTGAAGCAAGCAACATATTGTGCACGTGTTTGCTTTATTCGTTGGAACGTGTTGACGTGGTTAATTTCAACTTCAAATTTGTATACTATCGTTGAGTTTGTATTGTAAAATTCACCTTCGTTTTGAAAGCTATTTGATCATCTTTAAAAAATTGGGAATTTATTACCTACATTAATTTTATCGACAAATACACATTTCAGTTGTCTATACTAATACTAATACTAATAATATTATATATTATATTATTATATTATTTATTATTTATTATAATTATAAAGAGGAAAGATTTGTTTGTTTGTTTGTTTCGAATAGGCTCCGAAACTACTGGACCGATTTGAAAAATTCTTTTTCCATTAGAAGCCGATATTGTCCCTGATGAACATAGGCTGTTTTTTTTTTTATTTTTTTTTTATTTTTTTTTTCATGTGTGTTTTAATGTTTCCGAAGCGAAGCGAGGGCGGGTCGCTAGTTGGTTAATAAAATACGAGACGAATAAAGCAGTTTTGTATTCGCTAAAAATAAATGAAAAATATTAGAACTCATTACGATACCATCGGGAAACTATTATTTACCATCTGAAAGCGATTCATCTTAATTGATGTCTATAAAAATAAGATCGCGCAATTCTAGCAATTGATCTGCGACACCGGATGCGTATCGTCAACATCGAGCGCCAAAAATAATATTATCGGTTCCATATTATTGTGGCACGATTGTAATTCGATTCGCCATCACTAGCAATTCATTCAATTGACGTGTTCACTTATAAAATAGTTTCCTACATGACACATGCTTAACAATATTTTTGTGTAGCAGAAATGTCAAATTACCTTCAACGCATTGTTTAATTTAATTTTGTTGTCTGCTTATAAAACGCTTTTAAAAAAAATGTATATCTGAAACAAATTTAAATTGAAGTATTTTCAAGCAATTATCAAAATAAATACCAAAGTATATGGATAAATTGAGGCCATCAGCGCAAAAGTGGCCTAACCCACAATTTTTTTATAGTCAAGCTTATATTACGTATATTGGAATTTATTTAAAGTATAATAAATTTTTATACAAAACTGGCCTATCCCTGGTCTCACCCATAGATAACAGATAGCTTTTTAAACATTATTTTTGCGCGTATTGTTTTTTTTGCTTCAAATTCATGAAAATTCCAACCTAATTGCCTCGATACTAACTATGGCAAGCTTAGGCCACTTTTGCGCTGACGGCCTCAATTATCTGTGACTACGACTCGCGTATTATTGTTTTTTGTAGAGACGTCGAAATCCTATATGTACTGTAAAACAAGGAACTATCAATATTTCGGTCGAATGGATGTCACATTGTTAATGATAATCCACGTTCTTGGTTTCTATTGTCGGCTACGGTTTGAGTGGCCGATGACGACCTCGGCCTTGCTTATCGCCACAGATTTACGTCGTGGCGCCGTCGTCCGGATAAAACAAACCGTCTCACTCTGTCGCCTTCGCGTTACTACGGTTCATCTCAATAAAAACTGAATTATTTAAGACATTAACAGAAAACAATAAGGTAAAACAGTAACTAAGGGTAATGGTACTAAACATACTGCCAGCACAGTAGAATTTCACTTCAGTTTGGTTTCTACTCGAAAGTTTGCCTGTGGCCGTCACTGGACATTTCAGCACCGAAGAGAACTAACGTAAAATAAACTAGGATGTTAACGCTAATTACATACACTGCATGGAATTAGTAGGAATGATATATGCTCTCAGCGTGGCGGCCTGACAAAAACAATAACGGACTTGACTAAGGTATCTTTAGGCTCTTATCTTTAAAGACTATTACAAAACAAATGGTGCGGATGAAGGTGAAGGTGAAAATTTAGGATAAGATTAGAGGGTAATGGATGGATGATGGGATGATGATACAAAAGGACCCAGAAGGTGTTGAGGTATATTTCATACCTTTGTCTTTAAATTTCTAGTATTAGTGCTCAGTGTGCTTAGTGGGAGTTTTTAACGTTTTAACGTTTGCCTATGTTTGCCGCTAGGGCCGCTGTTCCAACTACATACAAATTTGAGTTAACTTTTACGTTATCGAGAACGTTAAAAAACTCGCACTAAGCACACTGGCGGTTTGTCCCTAATTGCTGCACAAGAATGTATCACAATTTATCTATTGTTCCGGTTTCATGGCGCCCACGTAAGGATAACCATTAATAGAATATAATTGAGATTTCGCCATATGCTCCAAGACAGATGACGGCATTTACGTTGTGAGGTTCCCATGAGTTCCGGTAGGCATTTCCATCGCTGTCATCCTCCGTCCCATCCGTACCAATAGCATTCCATAGTTTTCATAATAGGTAAATAGGAAATGGTAATTTGAACGTAATGTTATAATTAGATTTAATTTTGGAAGAGATTTTGAAAATTAAATTGTGTTGTTAAAGCACACTGTCATTTCCTGTCGTTTCACAAGGTATCTCACACAATACCCTCGATAAAAAATTTTGCAGTCATTTGATTATGTGATTTTTCCTGATTGTTGTTAATTATTATCAAGTATTGTTCGACAATTTCACACTGACCTTTGTTTCCGCAGTGGACCGACAGAAACAAGGTCGTTTTGGTAAAACTCAATCGAAACTCAAATCAAAACGATTCACTTACTACGTAAATTTAATTTTTTCTATAGTTTTTATCAATCACCTCGCTGGTCTAGCAATCAGTCACGAGGTCCGGGTTTATTTGTAAACACTAACTTTTTTATTTTTATTGGCATTTTCAATATTCGTACCATATTTAAAATAAAATATTTGAACAACAAAACGATTATTATTCTATCATGATCGTGTTGTAGAAATTCGCTCAAAGTTCATGTTCAGGTAGGTTATCAACAATGCAGACTTTATTATCTTGTAATAATCTAAAATAGTTTTTCTTCTTAGCTATTAAGGTAATTTGGAACTTAATTATTTATTAAACAATGACCAACACACATAACCGTTTCAGAATAGTAATATAATATCGAATGACTCTACGAATTACATGGTTATTATGTATTAAATTAAATCGATTAACCTTCATCGCGAAGCAATCGTTTTTTCTGATTTGAAGGGTAGGTAACTTCTTAGTTCAATATAATTGAGAAGTTGATCTCAGTTCTCAAGGTCAGCGACGGTCTTCACTCAGTTTCCGTATGCTATTTCTCATTGCCACTAAATATTTGGTTTACTGTGCTACTCTACCCATTTACGTGAAAAGTATCGAGTGGGACTTTTATGCTTAGTTAAAATGAAAACAAAACAACATTTGTATTAGTAGAGGTACGTATTCAATTATTTTTATCACGCATATAGCTATGATACATCAAGTAATAAAATAGTAATAGGACAATGATGAGTACAACTGAATTGAATAACGCCCCCGCACATGTATTGTCAACTTAATTCAGTCGTGTCATGCTATTGCAGACCTAACATTATTCTCATATCAACAAATTACATTATTACTAGTTTACTACTTCAAACGACATCTTTCAAGTGTTCATATCGTACTCTTAATATTTTTAGTAATAGAGCAAGGTAAAATTATAATCTGGTTCAGTCGACACAGGATACGAGAAAGCGACCTGGGCTTCCTTAGCGTACCAGTAATAGGTATTTCAACATCCGCCCGTAGTAGTATACGCACACTGATTTCTTTCTTAATTTTAGCCCTAAATATAAAAGTATATTAAATATGGACTCAATATAGTAATGGCGGCTAAAGTCAAATCATTTAATGGGACTACACATTATTATGTTTTCACCGCCATCTTGCTTATTTTTGGCATGAAATCAACAAGGTCGTTTGAAAAGGTCGGTAGCCATCAATGATATATTTAATTGTATTGGTTGGGTCGACGAGCTCACGGTACGCCCAGTGTTAAGTGGTTATTGGATTCTACCGGTCCTGCCTGATCAAGTGAATGTTGCCCCTCACCGTCTAATGCAACAACTTTAATTACCCTCGTTAAAAGTATGAAACTTTCACTAATGTCAGTATCAATGTAAAGTGTGTAAAACATATTTTTTGTGATTCATAACATTTTTATTGTGTATAAAAAAG